TATGGTTTGATTTCTTTGTATATATGGATCACTTGGGTTGTTACCGACATCTAGTAAAAATTTCATGTCATTAGCACCTCTAATAATGTATTTACTGAGAAAAATGTTGACATGTTCACTACTTATTTTACCCTCTGTACATGCAAATACACTGACTGGAGAAGAAACCCACACACCTACAAACGCACACATTCTCATAATTAGACACTTGTTAGTGGGAGACATGATCCCTGCTGACCGTCATTAAGACTGAAACCTTTAGACTGAACAGGTGTGAGACTCTGGCTCTGTTCACGTCTTTCTGCAGAACTACGGCGGGGGTATGAGGCCTCCCCCCAACTCCATGGGACCAGGGATGCCAGGCATGAACATGTAAGTACATGAAGAAAATGTTTCGAATATATTTTTTACTAGAGGTGTCCCGATACCAGTTTTTCTCAAAATGAGTACAAATTGCCGATATCGAGTACATCATCATCTCCTGCCTACTGCTGCCCATTGATTGGTTCACAGGCCGAGGCGTTGCGTCACACAGATGAGATTAACTTTATGTGAATTGTTTCAAACAATTTTTCACAAGTTCAACTGAGCAGTCATGTGCTTTGATATATTAGCATTTGGGAGTGGTAGGACATCTTACTCTCCTGATRTACAGTATGTAGCTGTGTTGTCCTAACAATGAATGTGGTGTTTTTTASGGATGTGTTCTGTGAGTATTTTGTACTTATACTGCCTGTTGGAAACCAATTTTCCTTTGGGATATCAGTAAAAACTGATCTGAACAACAACCGTAGCAAGTTATCAAACAGCAACAAGCTAACATTGGCTACTATTAGCTTACCATTCTCTGTCATCCTGCACTCTTGTCATTAGCACCATACATGGATGGCCCGATACAGTCTTCAGTACCTTTCTTTTGAGTTTGGTGTAGTCCATATGAACCCTGCCCACATCAAGGCAGCATTCTGCAAAAATACATTTTTTCATAAATACTGTTGCAAATTAAAAAAATAATAATAACAAATGTAATAAATTGTGATTTTCTTTCAACTTCTATAACTTTCTAAAACATGAAACGTACAAACATTTTTCTTGAAATGTAAACTGTAACACTGTAACACAACTGAGTATCATAACAAGTATTTCGGTATCATTACCAGTATCTGTATCATTTTCAAGTATTTGGGGCATTTTGGTTTTTATTTTTAGAATAGGTACACTTTTTTTATCTCCTCGTGTCTTTCTGCATTCTGGGTCCAGCTCTACAAAATCATAATATCACTGGTTAATCTTACTTGTGTCAACAAGATTACAGAAAGGCTAAAAAATGGTTTAAAAAAACAGTTGTCATCATTTGCAGCTGAAGTACGCACAGGAGGCATACAGTATTCAGATTTAGACTTGAATATTTAGTTGTAGACATGTAGAGTCCACCACACATAACTCAGATCTGGTCCATTGACACGTCAACCCAGCAGTTCATACCAGCATCAAATCCCACCCTGGATATGATGTCATTTGCCTGAAATAGTTCTACTTTTCTGAAATAAAACATTGTGTTTACTGCTGGAGTGAAACACATAGAGATGTGTAGATTCTCTGTTTAAAGTAGACGATTGCGAAGTATCACAAAGCAGAAAATATAAGAGGGTTTTTCAAATTCTGTTAATCAGTCAAAATATTCTTCACAGTGATTATAGATGTTGATTAAAAAAATCTTAAAATCTGATTGATTTTCTTTTGTGCTTTTTCCCAAAATTCTAATAAAGTACCTTTACAGGTGTAACTCTCCATTCTGATTGTTAGAGGTTATCAGAAATTATATATAATCTGTAGTTTAATCCTGTAGTTCTACACCTTTACTTTATTTTATTAGTTGTATATTTAGCTCATTATAATTTGTTTATTAGGTTATATTAGTTGATCTGAGAAGCATAAATAACTGTGTAACGATGTTCCCAGGGGTCCCGGTGGACGAGGTCCATGGCCGAACCCCAACAACAACTCAGTGAGTCACTCTCTCCACACATCATCCTTCTGTCAGGACTGAGTGTTTACAACAACTGTGTTTTCTTCCTCCTCTCCACAGATAGCATATTCATCTTCATCTCCAGGAAACTATGTAGTAAGTGTCCTGTCGAGAACTCCTGTTCCACTGCCAGCCATAAATGACCTGTCGTGCTGTGATCTATACCTGGCATGCTGCCATGCACGTGCACTCAGCTCATAACTCTCCTTCTTTTCTTCTAACCCCTCAAGGGTCCTCCAGGAGGAGGCGGCCCACCAGGAACTCCCATCATGCCGAGCCCCGGAGGTGAGTTCTATGCTCCAGTTTGCTTCTTGATATCTGCTTTTATCCACTGTTCACCAAAGAGGGTTTGTCTCACACTCATCAAACCTGATTTCTGACGTACACCTCTTTAGGAGAGAAACACAAGAATCTTCTTATTTAGGTGGAAAAAAACAGTAAAACACAAAAGAAGCATTCTGAATGTGCTGTATATATTATATATATA